CTGCGCGTGTTAAACGAGTGCATTTCAAAACGGCAGTTTCGGATGCTGTCCACAAGGCAGCTCCTCGAGTGTGTCAGGGAAGGAGACTGGATGACATCCATAGACCTGACAGATGCGTACTTCCACGTGCCCATAGTGCCAGAACACAGGAGGTTTCTGCGCTTCGCAGTGGGAGAGAGGAATTACGAGTACTGCCGTCTACCCTTCGGGTACGCACTCGCGCCTCGGACCTTTTCCAAATGTGTGGAAGCAGCTCTGGAGCCGATCAGACGTGCGGGGGTAAGAATATTAACCTATATAGACGATTGGTTAATACTGGCCCCATCCAGGGAAGTGGCCCTGAGCCACACGCACTGGGTCCTGTCCCACATACAGCGTCTGGGCTTTGTGGTGAACAGGGAGAAGAGCAAGCTGCAGCCAGCCCAACGCATGGTTTATCTCGGTCTGCAGCTAGACTCTGTGATATTCCGTGCTGCATTGTCCGTGGACAGACGGATGAATATTACCCGTCTGGCCCGGGAGGTTCTGGCGGGCCCCAGAGTCCCCGCTCGGCGCCTCAGGTCCCTGCTGGGAATGATGGCAGCGGCTCATGCTGTGGTGCGGCTAGGCCTGCTCCACATGAGAAATTTTCAGAGGTGGTTCTCGCGCCTCAGGCTTCACCCCTCCCGGGACGGGGGGAGGCTGATCTGGGTTCCCCAAGGGGCAGCATCGGACATCAGGTTCTGGCTCACTCCGGGTCTATTGCGGGACGGAGTGACTCTGGCCTGCGCCGTGTCTCACGTCGAGGTGTTCACGGACGCGTCGCTCGAAGGATGGGGCGGGGTCCTCGGCCAGAGCTCTGTAGGAGGCTGCTGGTCGGACTCAGCCCGTCACATCAACCTGCTGGAGATGGAGGCAGTGCACAGAGTACTGCTGCACTTTGCCCCTCAGCTGCAGGGGAGACACGTGATGGTGCGCTCAGACAACACCACAGTGGTCTCCTATCTGAACAGGCAGGGGGGCACCAGGTCCCCCGCTCTCCATCGCATGGCGACGGTGACGCTGCTGTGGGCGGCGCTTCACCTCCTGTCTCTCAGGGCGCGCCACGTCCCGGGGGTCCGGAACGTGGGAGCCGACAGGATGTCCAGGGGGGGCCCACTCCAGGACGAGTGGGGCCTGGCCCCACGGGTAGCTGCGGAGATCTGGCGGAGGTTCGGCCGTCCAGTGGTCGACCTTTTCGCCAGTGCAGAGAACGCACAGTGCCCGTCCTGGTTCGCCTTAAGGGCCGCGGACGAGCCGCCTTTAGGCGTGGACGCTCTGGCTCATTACCCATGGCCAGGCGGCCTGTTGTACGCTTTTCCACCGGTGCGTCTCCTGCCGGTCCTGCTGCGGAGGATCGAACAGGAGAGGAGATCGGTGATCCTGGTGGCTCCGGACAGTCCGCATGCCCGGTGGTTCCCCTTCCTGAGGGGCATGGCGGTGATGGAGCCCTGGGCCCTCCCGGACGAGCCGGGGGCTCTAGTCCAGGGAGCAGGAGCCCTGTTTTCACGTCCGATAATCGGCCGCAGGCTCTGGGTTTGGAGGTTGAGAGGCGGAGCCTCGTAGATCTGGGTCTTCCCCCTGCGGTGGTGGAGACCATTCAGAGAGCGAGGGCGCCGTCCACCGTGAGGGCCTACGCCACGAGGTGGAGGCTATTCAGTGTCTGGTGCGATTCCCGTTCCTGGGATCCCAGGTGTTGCCCGCTGGAGGGGGTCCTGGGATTCCTACAGGAGCTCTTCGAAAAGGGGAGGGCTGTCGCTACCTTGGCGGTGTTCGCGGCAGCCATTACTTCGGGTCACGACGGATTCGGGGGATTCACAGCCCGTTCTCACCCGTTGGTTAAACGTTTTCTGCGGGGGGCGCGCAGGAGGAGGCCCCCGCTCCAGAGAACGCCTCCGGTTTGGGACCTCAGGGTGGTCCTTAGGGGGCTGTCGGGTCCGCCTTTTGAACCGGCGGCGGAGGCGAGTCCCGAGTGTATCGCCTTTAAGACGGCCCTCTTACTGGCGTTGGCGTCTGCGAAGAGGGCGGGCGATTTGTGTGCGCTCTCCGTCCATGCGTCGTGCCTGTCCTTTGGAGAGGACGACGGCATGGTGGAATTGTGGCCCAATCCGGCTTTTCTCCCCAAGGTCATCACGTCGGCCTTTAGGTCGAGGGTCATCAGGATTAGGGCTTTCCACCCGCCGCCGCATGCCTCCCCCGAGGAGGAGCGGCAGCACCTTCTGTGTCCTATCAGAATGCTGAGGCGTTACCTGGCCATGACGTCGTCATTCAGGTCGGGTGATCAGCTGTTTGTGTGTCTGGGCCCCAAGAACAGGGGCGCCCCGCTGTCGGCTCAGCGGCTGGCGCATTGGGTCGCCACGGCGGTGCGGCGGGCGTATTAGACGCAGGGTCTGGCCCCCCCGGTGGGTTTCAGGTCGCATTCCACGCGTGGGATGGCGGCCTCTACGGCCCTTCTCAGGGGGGCGTCGGTCGAGGACGTTTGCCGTGCGGCTTCTTGGGCGTCGTCCTCTTCTTTCGTCCGGTCTTATCTTTCGGATGTGTCGGACCGGTCGGTGGCCCATTCCGTGCTGAGTGCAGCGGACTGAGTTAGACCGTTGGGTCCTTCCCCAGAGGGGGGCCTTCGGTCTATTTTCCGCCCTGGTGCAGGAGCTCTTGGGAGAGGCATCCTACAGGTGCGGTACATTTTGTGTGTGTGGTCGGTCTGGTAGTCCACGTCAGGAGCTCTTGGGAGAGGCGTCCTGTGACTACGGATGACCTACGGCTTGTGTTACGTGGGGGTATCCTTGGTAGGAGTGGCCCCGTAACACGCTTGTTTCTTCTGCCCTGAGTCCTCTCACTTTGTGAGGGTCTTGCTCGGGCGGAGCTCCAATCACCTTCGCTGGCCTGCTGGGAGTACATTTTCCTACGGCCTCCGCGTTGTGTCCCACTAGCGAAGTCCTAAGGGACGTAGCACCATGACGTAGAATTAATAGTTACTTAATGTAACTTAAGTTCTACGAATAGGTGCGTAGTCCCTTAGCTACGAGCCCATCAGGCCAGCCCGGCTTGGCAGAGTTCAAGAGGGGGTACGGCCTTGTGCAGGGGCATTTATAGAGGAAGGTGGCTGGTGATTGGAGCAAATTATTTTGATCTCTCTGGCGCGTGACCTGGGGGTCACGAGTGATATCCCACTAGCGAAGTCCTAAGGGACTACGCACCTATTCGTAGAACTTAAGTTACATTAAGTAACTATTAATTACGCAATGCACCTTTAAATCATGCTCTTTTCGAATTCAGAAGTTCAGCCTAGATAAAGCCCCATAATCATGTCATTATTGTCATTTCGATGTCCAACCCTCCACCGTTATACCAATCAGAAAGTCCATGATCTGGGTTGCCAAAACTCACCGTGTCAAACTAATCTCACTGGTAAAGTAACATGTCAGGCCACAATAAAACAAGGAATTAAACCAGGATTTCTATCTGGGCCTTTGTGAAAAAGATGTTGGTTGTAGATTTGTTGTTGATTTGTTGTTGATTTGTCTGCATATCTGGCAACCTGAATCAGGGAGAATGGGAGTGGTCTACAGAATATTGACTGCAGTGATTGCAGTACCACGTTTGGCCAGATTTTTTACATATTGCTCTTTTAATAATCAGATCTCAAAAACTGTAAAACACATGTTACTCTTTGAATGAGTTAGTACTAAACGTAAGTAGTTCTCATGTGATACTCGAGCTAACGTTACTGGAGTAGGTAGTTGCCATCCATCTTCTTCCATACAGTCCATACGAGCTAAAACCACTTTAACCTTGCCATAAAGAAGTACCTCTCTCTTGGAAATCATGATTTTCTGTGGCTTGGAGGCATGAGCAGGCGGGAAACAGGCCCTTCTCTTCATTCTGCTAACATGTAATTGTACTTTAAAGTCCAAAAAAACAAAAGCGAGCCACACGCTGCACTCACCTGAAGTTATCCTGAGGTCCAGACCATCCCAGTCTGTGCCCACACCGGACTGGTCCATATGGTCCCACGAGGCTCCCGATCGCGCGCTTGGTTCAGCTTCAAATAAACATTTCCAATTGAAAGATAATGTAACTTTGTGAGATTAACATTGACATTCAAGAGTCTACCAATCGGCATAAGTAAAAAAAAAATATATATAAAAAAAAATTATCACGTTTGCGCTTCTTCAATTAAAACCAAAAGAGCGCATCCAAATGTATAAAAAAAATCCATAATTCATCCCGTCCGTAGCTCCACCCTTCAGTCTTGGTCAAGTGCAATTCAAGACCTCCTAAAAACCTTTAAATACCACGTACGTAATTTACGCACTCTAACATGTGACGTCACCAAAAGGGAGTTGTACGCAGTAAAGCATCGCGAGATTGCTTTCTTTGTTCGACATTGATAGTTGTTTTTTTTTTTCAGTCACACCTTCAGTCTACAACTTTACATTTAATTTTGACATATTAATTACCAAATGTAATGTATTTATTAATATATGTGTTTTATATTTGTATACATGTTTTTCATTTGGCGAATATGCATGCATCATTGCTTTTGTTTTTTTCAAACGTTTTATTTTTCATTTAAAGGAAAGGAAGGACAACAGAGAAACAAAAACAAAAAAACTTTTGCTTCATACATATACAATTAAAATTAAAAGCCAGTAGCTTGAGACCTTTATTTCGTTTTAAATGACAATGATTATACATTTGCTAAAATATGTCCTGTGTGCACAACTATTTACATGTGAAATGTGGAAACAAAGAAAAGAAGCACAAACACGATAGATAAAAGCCAGCAAATGTGACTGGTGGAAGTATCAGAGAAGACTTTGGAAACAAATTATACAAAATTTGCACACCATCGTCCAGGAAAATACATAATGGGACAAATGATCCTGTAGTCTCTTTAGTAAGTTAAACAGATGACCCACAACTGTCACAATTGATCCAATAGTGTTGTCCAATGTAATTCTCTTGTCGAATAGTCAATTTTATTTATTTTCACAGCTTTTGGCCTCTTCAGACCCCTTTAACAAGCGATAAAACTGGTAAAACAATCTTTACTGGCATTAGACAAAAACAAAGTTGAGATTTTAAAAAATTCACGTTATCATACATCGACACAGGACAGATTGCTGAAAGGTCCGTAGCGTCCAAACTTGTCCAACCCCACAACAGTGACGCAGAGCTTGTGTCCGGGCTTAAACTTGACATTTTCGTAACTCATGGGAAGGGTCCGCGCAGTTTGGTCCGGAAGTTTCTGCCACGAGCTGAACACGCCACTGCCTGGAGCCAGTTCAGTGGAGATAAATATGCTGTGTAGAGAAGAAAAAAAGACCCATGAGTACACCCAGGATCAGGAGGATATGGTTTCATGATGACATTTTATGCAGCGTGTTGGTGTGTGACAACTGGAGACTAGAGTTGCATGCTTTTGTAGTTGCAGTCAACAGATTCTGGATGATTTTTCTGTGGTCGACTCAATAGCAATCTTAAATGGGGTTTCATTTTATTCCTTAAAACATGCTTGATTTTATTTCTCTTCTGTGGTTATTCTTTGTTATCGCTTTTTTACAATATGAAAGTATTTTGGACATATCATTACTTTGGAATATTGGTTTGAATATTATTTTGGTAGGGTTTTATGAACACAATTAGTTCAGTTATGCTTTGACTGAAACCAAGTTGGACCACAGCCGAAGGATACGTTTCTCAGATTTATTTACAGATGTTTTACTTTACCTTATGGGATAATAAAAATATAAATAATATGGTTGTTTTACTGAGAAACTTAAACAGTATTTTACATCCATCCATCTTGTTCTGCTTCACCCGTTGCCGGTTCGCAGTCTAAGCAGAGACGCCCAGACTTCCCTATCCACACACACACTTCCTCCAGCTCATCCGGGGGGAACCCAAGGTCTTCCCTGGGTCTCCTTGCCACCAAGGAGGCTGCCAACCACCTTGGTGACTTCAGCCAGGGAGATGGAAGTATCCACCCCAACATCCTAAGTCTCAGAGGACATGACGGGGGACTGAGATGTACACAGTATTCACAGTAAAAATACCTGTAGAGGTTCATGGGTGGAGCATTGGGGACGATCTCATCTAGACTCCACAACAGAGAAAGGTGAGGGGAGGGGTTTTTGATGAAGCCCAACACCGCCTTCACTCTGGGCGGGAGGCTGTATTTCGAAGCTTCTGACGGTAGAAACGGGGGGAACACGAGGTCCGGCAGAGGAGGGTACGGGGAATCCTCCTTATACAAAGTTACCAACATTTTGAATCAACTTTAAGCAATGTAATAATGGAGTCAGATTGAATAGCCAAAGCTCCAAGGAGGAGTGCAGTGTAACATTGTTTCTCAAATAGAAGAACAATGTAGTTCTCACCGGTTCGGTCTTGATCCTCTTGGAGTGTCGGCCTTGTTCATTGCTTAATTCTTCCGTCGTTCTCTTTACGGGCCCTGAGGCCACAACGAGAGAGGATGATTCTTCTGCCTCTGTTGGTTCCTTTTTGATAAGCTTTGCCAATCCGTCAATCACCTACATAAATAATAAAAAACCATCATATCAAATTAGGATTTTGAATGCATCAACAATTGGCGATCAGGGCCTTAGAGGTACCACCCCAAAGAATGAGGCGAATGGGAATCTACTTTATTCACAGGGATCTGCCTCTGAAATCCATGATTAATGTGTTTTTCTGCGAGTGACGCATCAAAGATTGTTTCCAGAACTGTGGTTACCTTGAAACAGGACTTACTCAAAAGGGGATCTGATTTTATTCCCAACATCAAAGACGCTATCAAGCAGCCTCGATGTAAGTACAATGCAACTAACACCTTATACCAGGGGTGTCCAAACTGGTCCAGAAAGGGCCGCTGTGGCTGCAGGTTTTCTATCAGACCCAGCAAGAGCAGAGCAGACTACGCCCCCTTCCTCAAGTGAGTTCAGTCTTAACCTGAAGATTTGATGAAATGGGAGTCTGCTCTGCTCCTGTTGGGTCTGATAGAACCCCTGCAGCGACAGCGGCCCTTTCTGGACCGGTTTGGACACCTCTGCCATATGCTATTCCTTACACTTGTACTATTCCTGTGAACTCAATAATTAGGGTCTGATTTTGGATCGAGGACATAGAGCTCTATGTGACGGATCGCCATTGCTAGGAAAGTTTATTCTCGTTTGCTGATTTGTTTACCTCAAACTTAGCTTGAGGCTACATCAGGCTCACAGGCAGAGGAGCGGAGATCCACTCGTTTCAATTGAAACGAGTGGATAGGGAAATCTGGGCATGCATTTGCGCATGGGTCCGTTTGGGTTTGTTGTTAGCCTGGCGGCTAGGGAAATGTGCCATTGCTGAATGATTGACATATAAGTTGCCAATAAAAAAATCTTTCTATTGATGGGTGGGACATTGTGGAACTCCTTTTTTCCTCACAGTACAACCGTGCGTAAAGACGCTGTTCCATTGCTGCGCATATTTTGTATGTATTTACACTACAACACAATGAACATAGGCTTTGAATATTGTCTTCTTCCAATGAAGTATGCCTTTTTTAGGGAATTTATATATTGAATATTTTTTTTTCCCAAACTTCAAAGGATGCAGAGTGAAATAGGAATGACAAACATTATTTTAGTGTATATTTACATAAACTCTAGCTTTAAAATGATGCCTCACAGAAGCATGTGACATAATAAGTGTTTTTAAATAAGCAAAGACATTTGGGTATGCCCCACTTTTGTGCACGAGCCAAAACAGATATTTTTTATATAGAGTTTAAGAGGTTAAGGGTAAAAATGCTCACCGCCTGTAACTCCCTATGCTACCACCAGAGCTTTATTCCAAATATATGGGCAATACTGTTTTTGTTTTAAAAGAAACGGCTCTGAGTGCGATGTCATAGTGGTACACTGACAGCGTTGAGAAAGGTATGAATTCTCTGCTGCTATGATCCCACTTCCCCGCACGTACATTTGGACATGCGCAGTAGCCGAGAACAAACATAAATGAATAAACAATGGCGGAGGTTTAAGTAGTTTCAAGCTGTAGTTTCAGTTTCCATTTTAGCAGCTGCTGTTAAATGCAGAATGATGTTGATGCATTTTTTAAATCTTTTCACGTGGTCTGAGGAGGAGGTTGTTGAGGAAGTGAATATACTGCTGAGGGGGCTGGGGGCCGCTTGTGTTGTAAAGTTCCACTGCCCACTACTGGCCAGAAGCCAGAACTACAATTGTTTTCACGCCTCATCTAAACAATGTGGCCTGATTGTTTGTCAATTGTTTTGCAACGTCTGCACAGCGCCTCTATCTAAACGGGGCCTGAGACATGAGTTTTTACACAGAAAGGGCGGAGCTACATGTTTGTGGCAGAAGTATGGGTATGGATGGATCTAAAATAATTGCAGGTCTGTGATCGATGAGGAACAATGTTGGAACATGGATCAGAGAAAGTCATTGTTTTCAGAATAAAGTTTACTCAAAAAGTTAGAAATTGTACCCCATCTTGCCGACGGCTGATGGTTGTAGGAGATGGAGTTGTCGGACCAGTAATAACTGCAAGAGCGGCTCTTAAATCTTAACAAAAAAAACAAACAATATTTTAGCGTTTTATTTTGATAATAATAGGTCATGTATTTGTACAAACCTGCGCTTTCTGCATGAAGGCGCTCAATCTGTTTCCTTGTCTTTTCCTTGAAATACGAAAAAACAAACAAGTCAGTGATAGTTTTGGCTTGGAGGTTATCAATATTCGGTCTGTTTTGTGGACTGAGAAGCTCACTATTACCAAAAACAGTATTGCTTTGAATATATATGAAAGCCAGTTCTATCTGTTTGGGCCTTTAATTTGACTTTAAAAGGGGACTATCCTTATTAAAAACTATGTATCTGATAAAACACATATTTCCCATCTTTGCAATGTGTTTGTGTTATAGATAAGTAATAAATCAGTAAAATAACTAATATCCACGCCTCCGATTGGCCAGAAAAATGATGACGTACTTGTAGGGGTCGCAGCTCCCGCTTTACTGTTTATGGCATTGCTCCTGATGCCGCTTTGACACAAATAAACCTTTAATGGGTGTTTTTTGTACGGCCCCGGGATGCAGCAATGAAAGTTACCAACAGAAGAGTGTAAACAGCAGTCCCTACGATCTTTGACTTATTCAGAGAAGGCAACGGTCCAAACAAACTGAGAGAAGACACCAGCGCCAATTCCATGAAATTAATCAAGCTCCAACTAAAACCAATTTTACGAGTTTCAACCCAGTATTCAGCAGAAAACACAACAACTGTCATTGAACCATGAATCCATGTTTCACTCCAACTATGTTTAGTAACAGATATAAATATGACACATACATCGTGTTTTAGACTTTAGAACCACAGACACACGTTCAACATATGCACAAACGCTACATGTTTGCATTTGATTGAAGACTCTCACCATTTCTCTCAAACTCAACATCTGGAGCTGCGACAGAGTTGAGGATTCTCTAAGTTGCGGGTATTGACGTGTTTGCGTGTTAGCTGATGTCCGTAAAAATAGCGTTAATCCATATTGTCAAACCACCTCCAGACTTTTCAGTTCTGTCCACTTTTACGGCTGGGATCTTTCATTTCAGGGTAGTCACTTTTACAGTGCCTTGCAACAGTATTCATCCCCCTTGGCTTTTTACCTATTTTGTTACATTACAGCCTTTAGTTCAATGTTTTTTTTTTATCTGACATTCATGTGATGGATCAGAAAACAGTAGTCTAAGTTGGTGAAGTGAATTGAGAAAAATATATACATAAAACTATTTTTCAGAAATAAAAAATTGGAAATTGGCATGTGCATATGTATCACCCCCTTTGTTATGAAGCCCATAAAGAGCTCTGGTGCAACCAATTACCTTCAGAAGTCACAAATAGTGAAATGATGTCCGCCTGTGTGCAATCTAAGTGTCACATGTTCTGTCAGTACATATACACACCTTTTTTGAAAGGCCTCAGAGGCTGCAACACCTAAGCAAGAGGCACCACTAACCAAACACTGCCATGAAGACCAAGGAACTCTCCAAACAAGCAAGGGACAGTGTTGTTGAGAAGTACAAGTCAGGGTTAGGTTATAAAAAATATATCCAAATCTTTGATGATCTCCAGGAGCACCATCAAATCTATCATAACCAAATGGAAAGAACATGGCACAACAGCAAACCTGCCAAGAGACGGCCGCCCACCAAAACTCACGGACCGGGCAAGGAGGGCATTAATCCGAGAGGCAGCACAGAGACCTAAGGTAACCCTGGAGGAGCTGCAGAGTTCCACAGCAGAGACTGGAGGATCTGTACATAGGACGACAATAAGCCATACGCTCCATAGAGTTGGGCTTTATGGCAGAGTGGCCAGAAGAAAGCCATTACTTTCAGCAAAAAACAAAATGGCACGTTTTGAGTTTGCGAAAATGCATGTGGGAGACTCCTGAAATGTATGGAGGAAGGTGCTGTGGTCTGACGAGACTAAAATTGAACTTTTTGGCCATCAAGGAAAACGCTATGTCTGGCGCAAACCCAACACATCACATCACCCAAAGAACACCATCCCCACAGTGAAACATGGTGGTGGCAGCATCATGCGGGGGGACATTTTTCAGCAGCCGGGACTGGGAAACTGGTCAGAGTAGAGGGATAGATGGATGGTGGTAAATACAGGGATATTCTTGAGCAAAACCTGTACCACTCTATGCGTGATTTGAGGCCAAGACAGAGGTTCACCTTCCAGCAGGACAATGACCCCAAACACACTGCTAAAGCAACACTTCAGTGGTTTAAGGGGAAACATGTAAATGTGTTGGAATGGCCTAGTCAAAGCCCAGACCTCAATCCAATAGAAAATCTGTGGTCAGACTTAAAGATTGCTGTTCACAAGCGCAAAACATCCAACTTGAAGGAGCCGGAGCAGTTTTGCAATGGTAAGATGTGGCAAGCTCATAGAGACTTATCCAAAGCGACTTCACTGCAAAAAGTAAATTCTAAGCAAGTAAAAAAATCTTGAAATAACGAAAAAAAAATTGTCTAGCAAAATTTCCTTGAGAATAAAATTCTTATTTTAAGAAATTAATTAAGCTTTTCCTTATTAAGAAAAATGTGCTTAAAAAAAGCAATATTTGGATCCAAAACAAGCAACATTTACTTAGTTAGGTTCCTCTTTCTAGATTCAAGAAAAAAATAAGAAAACAAGAAATCTTCAAATAAGAAAAAAGATCTATTCAATTGAATTCAATGTAGTTTCACTTCAATGTATTTGTGTATCGTCCAAAACCACAGCAGCAGTTGCCGAGGAGGATTTAACTCAATAGTCATCATAACTATTTCTTACTAAATAAACACAATATGTACACGTTCAAGTTGTTAAAGTTGGATCAAATCAAAGTTATGATGTTACACAAATCAAATTACATCATGTTAATCCAACATCTTCACATGTTGTCAAGTCCACACAATTAATTATTGCTATAAAAACGCATTTGTTTTGGGTGGAAATTATGTCCATAATTTTATTACGTTCATTTAACAAATAATTTTTTGGAGTGAAGAATCATGCATGTCAAACACAGGAAATGCAATAACACACACAGAGCCATACGAGGAGCAGGACGACCACTGTCCAGAAATGTTCATAAATGTCCTTAAATGTCCCAGATCATCACCGTCCTTAGAACTACAGAAACCCACCTGTGACACTGACACAATACAACATTGTTGGCCAACCTCATGCACGTGATGCACGTCTCCAAGATCATATTTAATGGGCACATATGTTACATCTGTGTGTACAAAACTGTAATATAGAGTATAGTCCACAATAGCATCTGATAATGTTTTGGTATTGAGCTCATTGTGAGCTCCTCACCCCCTCCCTCCTGTTCCTGCTGCTGTGGGCGTGTCTGTGGGCGTGGCTGTGGGCGTGGCTGTTCCTGCTCCCTGCTCCTGTCCTGCACACCTAACGCTCATCTCTAATCATCTCTGTGTTTAAGCCTGGGCATTTCCTCAGTCCTCTGTCAGGTCCTCAGTCTACATCGTGAGACAACACCTCAGGCCTTTCGCTATTTTTGCTAAGTTTTTTAAGCCCTCGTCTGATCTCATGTTTTGTGCTGATCTCAGAAACTGCTCCTACTCCCGTTTCGGTTCCGGCCCACCCTACCAGCCCAAACTTCATTCCTGTTAATAAACCGTGTTATAACCTGTCCTTCACATCTGTGTTCACTTCTTTGATCAGAACATATGTACTGCTTATATTATTTTGCTTATTAAGCCAATTTTGCTTAAAACCAGTCTACAACTAGAAAAAGGCTGCAAAAATTATTTCCTAAAATGATCCAATAAGATTTTTTCTTATATCTGACCTTTTTATTGGGAGAAAATTGCTTAAATCAAGAAATATATTGGGGTTTTTTCCCATTATACATTAGGAAAAAAATCTTAAAACAAGAATTGTAGAAAATGAAAAAAGTCTTACCCCATTGGCAGATTTTTTTTGCTTAATATAAGCAGAATTGAGGTTTTTTGTCTTATTTCTCGCAAGGGACTTTTTGCAGTGTTGGAGCTGTGATTGCCGCAAAAGGTGGCTACAAAGTATTGACTTTAGGGGGGTGAATAGTTATGCACATTGACCTTTTTTTGTTTTTTTGTCCTATTTGTTGTTTGCTTCTCATTAAAAAAAAACTACAACATTTTCAAAGTTGTGGGCATGTTCTGTAAATTAACTAACTGACGCAAATCCTCAAACAATCCATGTTAATTCCAGGTTGTGAGGCAACAAAACACACAAAATGCCAAGGAGGGTGAATACTATTGCAAGGCACTGTACGGCACTGTGATGTCCGTGATATCCATTCCTTCGTCCCTAGCGCTACCTTCGCTAACACTTAAGCTATTTACACTCACTCCACTCGAGCTCAAACTGACCGCATCCGCAAACTGGGTCAAGAGGGGTTGGACCATAGATTCATGACTCCAGCCCGTGGAAACGGCCCTAATGTCCCCAAATTTTCATTTCATGCAGATTGCTCCTCATCTGAACCGAGTCCTCAAAATCAGAATTACTGTCATAGCAAGTACGCAAGGGCTCATAAATAAAAACCCCTGACTTGTATTGTCCATCACTGAATAACAAATATCTGTTTAAAAACATCCGTATATAACGTTATGGCTTAAAATAGCATATCAACTAAGCCCATAGACCCCTACATGTACGTCACTTCCGGTCTCAGCAATTATTTTGCAAATATCTTTTTGCACAATAATTATTGATAGAAACCGCTAAGGGTGAAACTATCTGTCAAAATGAGTTTTATTTAAACACAAAAAAGACCACAATACACCAACAAAATAAGATTAGGTCCCTTTTAAAGACACCAACAGTGACAAGTTAAAAATAACCTACCATGAACTCTGAGACACGGGAGTCCTCCACACAGTCCTCCGTGTTGTTCTGGGATCTAAATGATCAAACATTTAAAGTCAGAAACAGAAGTAACAGTAAGCCTACTTCACTATTGTACACCGAGGAACCACATACTGGACGGAACTGGTGCTGCAATGGGATGCGGCTGAATTCTGAAAGAACAAACTTTTTTAGTTGTCTGTTAAATGAATTGTAAGACGAGATTGGAAAAATATGATACCTGTGCTATTTGGGCAAGAGCATGCTCTGCTCTTCGAGTTACTGCCATCATCTGGCTCTGGAAAATGTGTTTAAAACCTTTAGAACACATGGAAAAGTGAAAGTGCATATAGATCTATCAGGCAGTGGTTCACCTGCAGCATCTCGATTGAGGTCTCATAGTTCAGGCCCTGGCCCAGCTGCTGCCTAATGTTCTCTATCAAGACATCCAAACTGCTCTCTCTTTGTGACACCACAGACTGGACCTCCTTATCCACCAACTGCTCCAGCTGGGAACAAAAACAAACACACACGTAGCACCATTATATTCATACAAAAAACAGCAAGAAAATGCATACAAGTGAAACTCAATTCACTCCTGATATTCAACTTCATCGTGGTAACATTCAGTTTCACATTCACACCGTATGCATGGCTGATTTTGATTCCCATCCAGACTGAATCAATTTCCTAAAAGACAATTAAAGGAAATTCTCATAAATATCATTTATGTCAAAACTTCTGAAAAGATTTATATTCTGTGCGGATAATTTGGGTTCAGTGCTACCCATGCCTACAAAAAAACTCTTGTAGTCTTATTGTGTCTTATTTATCAAGCACTGGGATTAATAAATTGGATTTCTTTGTGATCTCCGAATTAATGGCTCAGACTAGGGGTGGGAACCTAAGGGTACCCCACGATACAATACGATACAAAGCTCACGATAATGATAATATCACGATAACGATATTCTCACGATATGGCGATTATTGATATATTGGTCAAAAATATACCATATGCCAATTTATGGCATAAAAGAAAAATGTTAAGTGAAAAAATGCACTTTATTTCATGATAAATGGAATGGAGATGCGTCATGTAGCCATATATTAAGTATTAATACTAATTGAAAAAAATATATACAGTGGGGCAAAAAAGTATTTAGTCAGCCACCAATTGTCCAAGTTCTCCCACTTAAAATAATGACAGAGGTCTGTAATTTTCATCATAGGTACACTTCAACTGTGAGAGACAGAATGTGAAAAAAAAAATCCAGGAATTCACATTGTAGGATTTTTAAAGAAATTATTTGTAAATTATGGTGGAAAAAAAGTATTCGGTCAATAACACAAATTCAAGTCAATGGAAGGAGGTTTTGGCTCAAAATCTCACGATACATGGCCCCATTCATTCTTTCCTTAACACGGATCAGTCGTCCTGTCCTCTTAGCAGAAAAACAGCCCCAAACCATGATGTTTCCACCCCCATGCTTCACAGTAGGTATGGTGTTCTTGGGATGCAACTCAGTATTCTTCTTCCTCCAAACAGTTCTACTTTGGTTTCATCTGACCACATGACATTCTCCCAATCCTCTGCTGTATCATCCATGTGCTCTCTGGCAAACTTCAGACGGGCCTGAAAATTCACTGGCTTCAGCAGGGGGACACACGTCTGGCACTGCAGGATTTGATTCCCTGTCGTCGTAGTGTGTTATTGATGGTAACCTTTGTTACTTTGGTCCCAGCTCTCACCAGGTCATTCACCAGGTCCCCCCGTGTGGTTCTGGGATTTTTGATCACCGTTCTCATGATCATTTTGACCCCACGGGATGAGATCTTGGGTGGAGCCCCAGATCGAGTGAGATTATCAGTGGTTGAAATATCGTTGTGGGCTACATTTGGGCTATCTTTTATACAGATAACGAGTTCAAACAGGTGCCATTAATACAGGTAACAAGTGGAGGACAGAAGAGCTTCTTAAAGTAGAAGTTACAGGTCTGTGAGAGCCAGAGATCTTCCTTGTTTGAAGTGACCAAATACTTACTTTCCACCATAATTTCCAAATAAATTCTTTAAAAATCCTACAATGTGAGTTCCTGGATTTTTTTTTCACATTCTGTCTCTCACAGTTGACGTGTATCTATGATGAAAATTACAGACCTCTGTCATTGTTTTAAGTGGGAGAACTTGCACAATCGGTGGCTGACTAAATACGTTTTTGCCCCACTGTATATATAATTTTTTTTTTTTCAAAATTGATAGATACTTGGCAAATGCATATCGATAATCGAATCGCGGGAGAAAGTATCGCGATATATTGTCACACCCCTAGCTTAGACAATGTGATAATATAAGATTATGTACACATTCACTTACCTGTCTCACAATGAATATAAGGGAAAAATCACTGAAATTATCACAAGAAACAATCTTGCTACAGTTCTGACAGCTGTTCATCATCACCAAGATGCTTCGTTTCCATGATGACAGCATTATAAGATATGAGAAATATTGTATTATTGTGAGAAATATGGGCAATGAGCCATATTAACAAACAAAGGCTTTGCACATGCACTATCCAAGTAATCATTCTATGCCACATATTGCTATCACATGTAATGTTGAATGACAGAAACTACTACTCCTCGGCTCTACTCGATATTGAACAGTAATTTTCACCTGTTTCAACTGTAAGCGCAACTTACTTCTCGTTTGGAGAGCTTCAGCTTCAGTCCAGTCTTCATCCTTTCAAACAAAACACACTAGTTCATTTGCAAAATCAGACACCTCTGAGTGCGCAAGTTGTGTTCCTCTAACAGTCTTCAACATGATTGCAGTACATTTGACAGCATTTGCTTGAAACTGTATTTGTATAGCGTTGCAAGGGCTGAATGCAAAAATAATAAGTTAGCTAGTTGAACAGTGTGAAAAGAAGGAGGAGGAGAAGCACAGGATGATGCTAACATGCTAACATGCTAACAGGCTAACGCAGCGCTTTGTTGAGCTTTATGCCATGTGTACTGGGGAACCAAGCGCTCACATGGAGACTTGGAGCCAAATCCCACACGCTCGTAATGAAGAACAATATTAACAACAAGAACATGTCATAGTTGTGTATTGTAAGCATCGGGGGAGCTGTGTACCTTTTAAAGTTAGAGCGGGGGCGAGGATGTTGTGATGAAGTGGCGGTCTTCCCTTCTTCTTCTGCTTCTTCTTCTGCTACAACAAACCGAGGCGCGCACGAGACAGAGCGCCCCTACAGGACTGGAGGCAGATGGCAGGCTGTGGATGGATGCATGCTCCACTTCCGTGTTTTAGGCACTACCCTACTTCACTTCCTGTTCGCGGGAAATGGCTTGAGTTTCACCGGGGCCCAATCCCAATACCCACACTGCACCCTACACACCTCTACAAAGTGTGGTGGATTCGAGGCAAGATGGCGACGTGAGCGGATCACTCTCACGTGGGCTCTGGTGAACTCCCTCCAAAGTTAACTTTTTGATGTCTATTCCCACTAGAATTCAACCAGGATTTTCCTTAGTAAGTGTACGTCAACACATCGCAAGAAAAATGTCCAAACAAACAAATCATACCACTGTTTCTCTGGAACAAAGCGGACATGATTATCTGTCGGCAGAATCAGAAATGGTTGAAGAACGTGGTGGTGAAAAAAGAGATTTGGATACTTCTGACTCGCTGCCCGCTACTCCCTCGAAAGGAGCACATGTTCGCAAACATCCGAAAACGGCTGAAGAAGATGGGTCCAGTAATGCCATTCTTGCTGCCATCAATATGCTAACTATTAAGTTTGAGAAACAGGAAAGAAAAATGGAGGAGATCGACGGTAAGCTAACCCAGAACGGTGCAATGCTAGCTAGCCTCTCAAAAGCGGTGGAATTCAATGCATCTGAGATTAAAGACTGTAAAGTTCGTGTCTCTGGCGTGGAAGAAGAGTTAGGGCGTATGCGTGCCGAAAATGTTGACCTGCAAAAAAAATGCAGAGAACACGACCGCTATAAAAGACGATGGAATCTCAGGATTAAAGGCATGAGAGAGACTATGAATGAAGACACCAGGGCCGAGGTCATTACTCTCCTCAAACAAATCGCCCCTCAGTGGGCACAAGACATGGAGCATATCGTGGATACAGTGCACCGAATTGGTCCGAAGACAGACAGTAGGGTGAGATACATCATTATTCAATTTACAAGGCGTCGCCACAGAGATGGTTTCTGGAAGATGACCAAAGATTCTGCAGTGTGCAAAAATGCGGGCATTCGCTTCATGGAGGACCTCACAAAGGAGGACAGGGAAGCGAGAGCAGCGCTGTGGCCCCGCATCAGCCAAGCACGTCAAGCAGGGGAGAAGGCCTTTTTTCGTGGGGCCCATGGATACATCAATGGTCGGCGAATTAAAGACTAAGTACAGAATATTCTACTTAAAATTATAACATGTGGGTTAACATTTTCAGGAGGGAGCAACCACGTTTACAGTTACCTTAAAACACTTTTCTACTACTTAAGTTTACTTTTTCTTTTTTTATTGCTGCGAGGTTTTCCAGCTGATGGACGTTTTGAAAGCTGATTTTAATTTAGTTTCACTTAATACAAGGGGTCTAAAAGACAATGTAAAGAGGAAAGCTATATTTTTGTATTGTAAAGACTTTAAAAGTCACTGTGTCCTTCTTCAAGAAACTCACTCATGTGCCTCTGATGCCACCTACTGGACAACACAATGGGGAGACAGAATCTTTTTCAGTCATGGGACCAACAGATCTGCTGGAGTTGCTATTTGTCTCAACAAGTGCCCGGGTAATGTAATTTCATATAAAGCTGATGAACATGGTCATTGGCTGACTGTAGTGATTAAAATGGATGACATTTACTTTATTATAACAAACATTTATGGTTACAGCAACAACACTCAAAATAGGGCTCTATTACAACATGTTACAGAAGTTGTTTCTAACTACAAAAGACTATACCCGACTAATTTTATTTTATTTGGAGGAGACTTTAATTTAGCACCTGATGAATACCTTGACAGATACCCCACTAAATTTACAGATACTTATTACAATATCACATTACTGGACTTCTGCAACACTTTTTCCTTATTTGATGTGTGGAGAAATATAAATCCAAATGTTCGACAATACTCCTGGGTTAAACCTAATGCTGCTAGTAGATCTAGGATAGACTTATGGCTGGCAGCTCCACAGTTGACTAACTATGTTTCTGATGTAAAAATGTCTAGTGCCCCCTTAACAGACCATTGTCTAATATCTTTACGTTTAGAGCCGCACAATAGAATGAACAAAAAAAATGTCTACTGGAAATTTAATTCTGATTATCTTCAATGTCAAGAATTCTGTAATATGGTAAAAAAATTAATGTTAGATATAAAATATGATGTATCTATTGGTAACTATTGCAGCAGATGGGAATTTTTTAAATATAAAGTCAGACAAATTTCCATACAATTTGGCAAACGAAGGAGTAGATTTATGAGAGAACAAGAATTTAAACTAGTGCAGGATCTGGATGACTACTGCAAAAGAACTCCTATGTTGGACTCGGACAAAGCTGTTTTCATGACTCTAAAGACTAAATTAGATGAACTAAGCACCAGAAGAGCTAGGGGAGCCTTTATCAGATCTAGAGCAAAATGGATTGAGGAGGGGGAATGCAATACGGCATACTTTTGTGGTCTTGAGAAAAGGAGACAGGAAAGAAACCTCATTACCACTCTAATTGTAAATGATAATGAATGCACAGACCCTAACTTGATCACTGAAGAAGTTTATAAATTCTACAAAGCTTTATACACCTGTACTGATGCAGTCAGAGACTCTGTACTTTTGGAAAGCATAAAACACCACATACCATCCATTTCTGCAGACTTTAAAAACTTGTGTGACTCAGACATTGAGATTTTTGAACTTGATATTGCAGTCAAACAGTTGTCCCTACGGAAGTCTCCAGGTCAAGATGGCCTTTCATCAGATTTTTATAAGCATTTTTGGGAGGACATAAAGGACTTACTGTTTTTTGCCCTACAGGAATGTATCAAAAATAGAACATTAATGACCACGATGAAACAAGGTCTTATATCACTCATCCCAAAAAGCGGGAAAGACAAGAAATATCTAGATAATCTACGACCAATAACACTACTCAATGTAGATTATAAATTGTTAGCTCATGTTATTGCAAATAGGCTTAAAGAGGGAATCTCTCAAATAATAAGTGAAACTCAATCAGGTTTTCTCAAAGGTCGCTCCATCCACAACAATATTAGACTGGTGCTTGACCTACTGGATTATAGAGACAAAATCGACGATGACGGTTTTATTTTATTTTTGGATTTTAAAAAGGCTTTTGACTGTGTAGACCATTCCTTTATGTTAGACACACTACGCTACTTTGGTTTTGGAGATGCCTTTTGTGGACTCATCCAGATGTTGTATAGTGACATTAATAGTTCTGTTCTACTCCCCTTTGGCTCGTGCAGACGTTTTGATATCCAAAAAGGAATTCGTCAGGGTTGCCCGTCATCCCCACTATTATTTATTTTAGTTGCAGAAATTTTAAGTATCATGATCAAAACATGTAAGAACCTAAAAAAATTAGATGTTGCAGGTCGCCCACTTGCTATAAGTCAGCTTGCCGACGACACCACATTGTTTTTAAAAAATGCGGCACAAATACCAATTGCTCTCCAAGTTGTAAATAGATTTTCTGAAGCCTCTGGGCTCTATCTAAATATCAAAAAATGTGAATTAATGCCCATTCATGACCACCCTCCAATATCATTATGTGGTATACCTGTCAAAGATCAGATCAAATATTTAGGGATTAGCATAACAAAAAATGAAGCGGACAGAGAAAAGAATAATTTTGAAAGTGTGCTTAAGAAAAGTAAATCCATTTTGAATATGTGGTTACAAAGAGACCTCTCTATATTTGGAAGGTTACTGCTCTCTAAAATGGAAGGTCTATCTAGACTAATTTATCCTGCATACACTTTGAATGTGAATTCAAAAATGATGAAGCAAATTAACCAAATTAATTTCAATTTTCTCTGGAAAAATAAATATCATTATATCAGGAAAAACGATATTGTAAAATCTGTAGAGGAGGGTGGTTTGAATGCTATTGATTTTGATCCCATGAATGGTGCCTTAAAACTTCGATGGTTACAGAATTTTATTACAAATCTAAATAGTTTCTGGTTCAGTCTCCCCTCAAAAATATTCTCGAATTTCGGTGGAATTGAATTTCTGATACAATGTGACTTTGAAATATCCAAATTACCTACTAAATTATCCAAATTTCATGAGCAAGTCCTCCAGTATTGGAAATTGATATATTGTCACAATTTTTCGCCACACAATACACCTATATGGAATAATAGATATATTCTGATTAGAAGGAAATCCTTTTATTATCAGCATTGGCATGAAAATGGAATATGGTCAGTCTTACACTTGATGGATGATACAGGTAATTTTCTTCAGTTTATTGATTTCACCCAGAAATACAATGTGATTACCACTAGGCAACAATTTTTACAAGTAGTTAGGCTATTCCACAAGCTCTTGTCTGTGCAATTAGGGGATCTTTAATGTATACACAATTGGTTCCAAAAATGTATCCTCTACTCGTGCTAAATTGTAATTTCACGGACAAAAAATGTAACAACAAATTTCTAAGAGCAGCATTGTCCAATAAATACTTCCCTTTGCCGTTAAGAAGACAATATATTATGAAGGATCTCCCTAAACACAATGTCAAGATTTTCAGATGCAGTTACATTAAATTCCCTGTTCTACCTAAAGCTAAAGAAGTTAGATTTAAATTACTGAACAATGTATACCCGTGCAAAGAATTTTTACACTCCAAATTCAATACTGACGATAATTTGTGTGTTTTTTGCGATACCAATATTGAAACAGAAGAACATCTTTTTTTCACATGTGTGCATTCAAAAATATTTTGGGATAGTTTCTGTGCTTGGTCTGTTGGCAATACTTTAGGTATTATGGACTTTAATTATCATGACATAAAATTTGGAGTACTACTGGAAGACAAAAACAAAGAATTTACAATTAACAATTTTATTCTCATGGCTGTATTTTTTATTCACAAATGTAAATTTAGTAATTCCAAACCCTTGTTTAGGATATTTCTGAGCGAACTGTCAATCGTTAGGGACTCTTTGAAGCTTTGTAATTCAACGAAAGCAATTCGGTTGTACAAAAATATTGTGAATTTACCTCTGACCCTTGTGACTCAGTAATGTGGCTTTCTACGTTCTTAATTTGTTCTTTTGTTTGTGTTTTTTGTTTTTATACGGCACGAAACTGAGATTGTACTAAATATTTAAGCCTGTTTGATTTGTTCAATAAAGAAAAAAAAACAAAAAAAAAAAAAAACCTCTACAAAGTGTGAATTTGTTTGAAGTGCACGCAAGGGTTCGAGTGCGCAGGTTACAAGCGTGCAAAAAAGCAGAAAGGGCAAGCACGATTTGTGACCCACGGCAACTTCCGGTGACTTGCGTGACTCAGGCGCTCTGAGTCTCTGAGTCTCTGAGGCTCAGCAGTCAGGGGTCGTGGCTCACGGTTATCAATTTAGCTTTTTAGGGGTATCTGTGGATTATTAATGACACATTGTGGATCTGGAGGCATATATTTACAAGTAACCAGTATGTTACACACTCTTCAT